GGTGGCGGGGGACCCGCTGGCCTCCTCGCCCGCCTCCGCGTCGCTCTCCAGCCTCAGCAGCGCCGCGGAGCCCAGCTGGACGCCGGGATGCAGAGCGGACACCGGCCCCTCCAGCGAGAGCCGCCGCTGGGGAGGCCCGGAGGGCGCTGGGGGAGCGGGGCCGGTACCTCCTGCAGGAACTGGAAGATCGTGTCCCAGCAGAGCTTGTAGCAGAGGAGCAGGTACTGGGGGGAAAGGGCAGAGGCGGATGGTGCCCAAGGAGCAGAGACCCCCGCGGGGCCCCAGAGCATCCCTGGGACGACGGGGCCCTTTGCAGCCATCCGGGGCTCTAAGGCCGGATCCCCTGGGGAGGGCAGAGCTTGGAGAAGGGGAACAAAGGGCCCTGCTGCCCTTTGGTCAGTAGAGGCTGACACTGCACTAAGCCGAGAGCCAAGAGCTGGATCCCGAGGTCCCCCCCGGTGCTGCTAGATGCAAACGCGCGTGTTCGTATTGCAGGACGGGCCCCGGCAGCGCTCCCGCCCCCGCTGCGCTGCGGGGCTGCTCCCCGCGCCGGCCCGGCCCGCGTGACGCCGCGGAGCCGCCGTGCCCGGGGCGGATAAACCCGCCTAAGCCTCTCGGGGAAGAGGCTGCAAAGGGGATTAGCGCCTTGCTCCTGCTCTGCCCTTAAGGACTGCAAAGGCAGCGGCTGCTCTGCCAGCCTCGTTTGCTTTGGATGCATCTGCCGTGAGCAAAGGGCTGGAGTTTCATTTAGCGCCTAAACTCAATTAAATTGTATTAAAATGCAGGTACGAGCCTGTGCGGCTCTCTGGGCCTTCAATGACCAGCACCAGGCACTGATTATCCCGCGACTCTTCAGTTGCTCAGGTGGTTGTGGAAGAAAAAAAAAAAGGGGGTTTCAGAGCCAAATGCCCTAATCTCTCCTGTGAAACTCTTACAGGGGACAGCGCTGCAACCCCAGCTCCTGCCTTCCCCACACATTGCAATAGCACCACAAGGACTTGGCCGTTTCACGTCACTCCTCCCTAGGCAGCTGCAGGGCATCATGTTAATGCACCCGGGGGTGGTTTAACTCTGAGCAAAGCATCGGCCGTTCCGATTCCCCTCGAGGAACGCACCAGCTCCCAGGGCTGTTCCTGTCCACGCTCCTCTAATCCGGACGGACGGGGCTGCTCCTTAGCGAGAGGCGCTGCTGAGAGGCAGGAAATGCTGCCCCGTCCCTGCGGCCAGCAGCACCGGGGCCATCCCTGAACCGGGACTGCTGCAAGGACACAAAAAGGGGTGGCCAGAAGAGGGGAAACGGCCTCAGCGACTGCGAGGGCAGGTACGAGGCCTCAGCGGGGCGCAGGGCGGGCGCCTTTCCCCGTCGTGCTGTTCCCAGGAGCGATGGTTGAGCCAAGGCAAAGCCACTGCGGCCCGAGGGACACGGCTAAGGTGGCACCTGGGAGAAGCGCTGCCGCTTCTGACACCGGCACCGGAACCCTGACCCGGTTCCTGTGACAAACCCCCCCTTCGC